GCACTGGAGTGAGGCCTGCTACTTTCAGAGGACGTTTAACTCAAGCCCACATTAGAAGCGATCTAAAGTCATTGCCAAGCGAGGGTGGCTCATGGCCTCTGTGAAACGAATTTGGTGGCTCCCAGTCCACTTCCCAAGGGACAATTTATCCCTGTTATGGAGCCCACTACTGACAATCTTAGCAGAGGCCAAATGCTGACTGAGCCAGCTTCTCACTCTCGGGGGAAAGCCTTGCAGCTCTGGGTCATGCTGGAAGGATCCTGCACAGCCCCTGCCCGAGTGAGCACCTCTTAGGTGAGTGGAGGGTGCATGTCCCACTTGGGAGCAGCTGATCCAGCATGAGGGCCCCTAGCCTGAACCATCGTCTTTCCCGGCTCAAGTGCACTGTCAATTTGGGGTTATTATTCCATTTGCTGGAGGTAAGGGTGTGTCCCTGGTGCTGTTAATTCCCCCTGCAAGGCCCAGTTTCTGATGGTGCATGTTGATTCACTGCTTCCACCAGTGAGTCACCACAGGCTGAAACAATGCAGGAAACAAGACACAGAGACATTACACAGAGCACCTGGAAGTACACCCAGGGAGGTTGTAGCCAATGCACCCAATATGCCAACACCCCAAGGTGGAGCAGGGAAACGGTATGTTTGCTGATGCAGCAGAGCAGAGGAAAAGCTAGCTAAGACCTGGGCCCAAACCTCCCCTCTACTTACCAGATCTCTGCTTACTCCAAACTAATTCCCATGTCAGAGAAGGGAACACTGAAGCACAGACATGAAGTGACATGCCCAAGGCTACACATTAAGTCAGTGGCACACCCAGTGTCAAAACCTGGAAATCTGACTCCCTATCTGCATGGGCAACTGGTGCCACCTTAGTCGGGGGGCACATGCCCCCCCAGTAACCAGTCAGGGGCTGGGGGGGGTCCCCCCAAGGCCAATCTCACTGATAGCGCTCCCACTCCCTAGCCAGCGCTCGCAGGGGGGCTCCCGCTTGCCCATTGCCTGAGCTCTCAGGGGGGGCAAGTGCACCCCCAGGCAATCCCTACATATTGTCACTGCCTATCTGAGCTATGTTCCCATTTCCAGGCAGGCCAAAGGCCAATTCAATCAATCCTGTGCTGCAGGTGAAGGAGTTATGTTACACTCAAAACAGGGGGACCTTTTTGCCTTTGGAAGGGGCCTAGCTCAGTCCCAATTCCCACAGTGGTTTCAAGAAAATAGACCAGAAATGCACAGAGCCAGCCATCTCTCATCTTTCTTCATTTTCCATTGTTCTCTGGAGAAGCCAACAGCCTCCATTTAAAGAAAAAAAGAGCCCTAAAATATATGCACACTGGGTTTTGGTTGCAGCGGTGTTGGTCTAAGGACATAGGCAGGTAATGCAATGTCTTTTATTAGACCAGTGGAGGAGTTGGAAAAAAGTTCTTTGCAAGCTTCATACACCCAGGCCCATCACAGCCCATTCTCACCTCATTAGCAACTGCACCAGTGACTCAGTAGAATCACTACATTTTCACTCAGTCTGTCCCTAAATGACAACCCCAGAACCACAAGGTACACTTCAGCGACAAGACTGGTGTCTACATGCTACAGTGTCTTGCAATATTTGTCAGAAGAGCAATTTTGCCCATCTTGGTAGGAGAACCCATTCCTAATTTTGAGTTGCTGTTTTAAAAAGAAATTAGGTCAGCAGTGCTTCTCACCCTCTCTACAGATAACAGCTGCCACCCCAATTACATAATATTCAAGCATGCAGAAACCCTCCAATCTGAGCTAGGTTTTCTACATCAGCTGCATTTAAAGTGAGAGATCCATGGTCTAATTTCTTAACTAGCCACCCACTGGCTGTATCTGTGGAATATAAATCCAGTTTGGTGGGAAGATCCAATAGTCTATGCCTGCACAGTGTCAGAGATCCTACTTGCATGCCTGGAAGAAAGGAGTCAGCTTGAGTTTGTCCAAAATCTATACATTTCAAACAGTATGCATCCAGCTCTGAGCAGCTAACCTGTTTTTAAACCTGTTCTGCAGGTGGCTTTGTCAAAGGGAAGATCAAGCCATTGTGGGTCTGTCAATAAGGCCACATAAGTAACTGTTCATGCAGTTCATGTAGCCAGTGCAAAACTTCATTGCCAAGACCGAAGCCCTATTCAGGACTTGATTCTGCAACACTCTCTTAGCCTATCCCGGTTATTGAAATGCAGATAAGTTAATGACTCCAGAGGGTCAGAGAGGAAGTGATTCCCACTTTATATAGATGGGGCCCAGCTGAGTGACAGCCAGGACATCTGGCTTCTGTTTGCTGCCACTGCATATCCTTGAGGCAAGTCACGGCAACCCTCTGTGTCTCAATTTCTCCAGGTGTGAAATGGGGATTGTAATGCTCATCTTACTTGGACAAGTACTTTGAGATCTACAGGTCAAGTGTTCCCCACAGCAGCAGAAAAATATGAGGGATGGAGAGGTTGGTTGTATTGTAACGCTTATGAAAACAGATCCGTTCTGTTATGAACCTAGCAGGACTCTTGTTCCTTTCTCCTGTGTGTAACCTCCCCTTCTTTTGATTCATCTATTCAAGGTATGTATACAACACCATTTCTCTAATATTGTAGCACTGTACAGCATCTCTGGTAACCAGCCCTAGAAAACTGAGGCACAAACAGACTAGGGCCAGGGCTGGAAGGCTATCCCTACCTGTGAATCCCTGAATTAAGTACCCCCAGCACTGCACCCACCTGCCTCCCTGGTTAAATCTCCTGTGCAGCTATGCTGTGAAAAGTCTCCCCTTTTCACAGGATACACTCTGCTTGGGTAGAGCCTACCTCTATGGCACCAGCTACCTACAGCAAATCCAGTCCTTTTTTGCCTTTTTAAACAATCAATGATCCCTAGCTTCAAAACAGAAGGTCCAGACAGATACCAATGGCAGTCTAACTCATGCTCCAAGCAGAGTTTGGGTGGTGGGGGTGTAGGATTCAAGACGATACTCCGGGGTGCTGCCCAGAAAAGCTTTAGGAGAATAAAGTATGTGTTTATAAAATATAGATTTTAGCAAAGGAGTTGGGCTAAATAAGTCTGGCTAGGCCTGAAACTGTGAAGGTAAGAGTTTTTCAAACACTGCTGTTGCTGCTCTTAAGTCTTCCGGGGTCCAAAAATAATGAAGTTTGAATCTGAGACAGTTCTGGACCTATCCACTAAGATCCCAGTAGCGTAAAAAACTAAAAATATGAAGAAAATAATCAAATTGGTAACAAGAGAATTTTCTTTCCCCTAAGCATCAAACAGTTCCCTTACGCCTCATGATCCCATCCAAAGGGCAGAGCCACACAAGTAAGGTACTGCAAGATAAGACAGCATGCATTAGAGTATGAGGTACATCGCTGTACTCCTCTAACCCCGTGGTAGGTGCAAGTTGGATTATCCCACATACCTCATGCTTGCTTGCCCCACAGGGTACAATCCTGCAGACAGCAGGTGTTAGACAAGCATTGCAGAGCAGCTATCTCATCTCAGGGTCCCCTGTTTGTGCTATGATGCCCAAATAGAAATGGGCAAAAAACAGGCAGGGGAAAAAAAAAAAAAAAAAAAAAAAAAAAAAATCAAGCTTCCCCCCATCCTTCACTCCCCCAACTCAAATTCAGCTAGGCCAGACACCTGTTGCCAAAAATCCTTCCAGTCCTTGCAGTCTTGCAGCATAGGGCTGAGGCAACAATACAGCTCAGCTCCTGCTGGCATCTGTACAGTTTTTACCTGAGAAAGGAAGGCAAATTCAAACTGAAAAATTGAACTGGATGTACATACAAAGACTCGCATGGGCTCTCTGGAGCAAGAAAAATAAGGCCAATGACAAACGCTTTGAAAACACCACCCAAAAGGTGCCCACTTATTTATAGGCTCCTCAGTTGTTATTCAAGCAAAAAATCTCACTGACCTCACTGGGAGTCTGGCACGAGTAAACCGCTTTCTATGCACCTTGCAAACTTTGGTAGGACAGGGACTGTGTGCCTAAAGACGCCGCAAGCCCAGTTGGGCCCCCGGCTCCGCCGCAATACAAACAACATAATGACACCAATTAAAGAGCTCTGGGCTAGAGGTGAGCTGAACTGCATAAACAGTTAGGTACCGTCACCAACACTGCACTGTTGACAGAGCTGTCGTGACTCAGCTCGTTTACAGTCCATCTGCAAAACAGGTAAGAAGTCACCCACGCTTAGGAGCGCGTGGTGCATAGGTATTCTGTGGACTTCGGACAAAACGTGGAGTGGAAGCATCTGCCCAGGTTCCTTTCAGCTCTGCACCCAGTTTCACACCTTTTATTAGCAAACACAATGACTGACACAGTCCGTTAAGTTCTGCACACGTGCCGTAATGAAGGCAAGATTTTTGCCTCTATATTCCCCATTGCAGGTATGCCAAGCTGTATTTTAGGTAGCCAGCGGGGTCCGAGTTTATGTGCTGGCTGACATGCAAGCAGTAGAGAGCCAAGCCAATAAAGTCATGGAGAGCTGAACCGATAGAAAACAATGTATGGCATGAGCTGGCTGGTCTCGCCTTCTTAGCAAGCAGCCATTCGTTTCATATTCTTCACTTGATTGAATAGGCTCTGCTCAGAAGATGCTTTTGCACTGGGCTAGTGTTGAGGGCTGTAGGTCAGGTTCAAGGGGCACAGACAGCAATAGCAAGGACCACCCAGGACTGAAGCACGCTGGCAGGGCAGCATGCAGAGCAAGCTGCAGAGCTTTAGTGTGATCCTCCAAATAACCTCTGTGACTTGGTGTGCTGCGTGTTTAAAAAATGCCTTTCCATGAAACGCTCAGCAGTGAGACTGGAGTTTCACTTCCACTACCACATACTTGAAACCAAGTCCGCCTAGCCCAGGGCTCCCTCCTCTTTCTCTTTTTTAAAGAAATGAGAGAATAAGAAACTAATCAAAATGGAAGAGAACTGAAAAACTAGTTTATGCCCCCACCCACCCACCTCCAAACACAACAAAATCCCTTTTACCTGTGTTGATCCCCGACAGCCGTCTTTGCCCATTGCTGTTTCTTCTCCCAAACCCGTTGCTATTCCTTCTCCCTGGAGGGTCATTGCTGTTCCCTGAGGCCATGGTGGAGGGGAGCTTGGGTGGAGGGGAAGATGGTCTCAGCTTTATCCTGCAGAAGTCAGCGAGAAACACACACAAGCAATAAGTGACTGAGGCCTCTGGAGTGATACAAGGAGTGCAGCCAGCACATGCTGGCACTGGAGGAGACAAGTAGAGACTCAAAGCCTGTCCTTTGGTCCCGGATCCTCGCTCACCTGCAAGGCAAGCGCTAGGCACTTCGAACAGCATCCAAGTTTCACTCAGTTTCTCAGCATCCAGTTTCACTTCATTTCTCTGGGCACTTTAAGCTTTATGCCTCCTTTTATCTCTGCAAGTTTCCTGACAGCCTCCTGGCTCCTCCCCTCTGCAGCCTGCTCTCCAATCCCTGCCAGACCATCACATTTTCCCAACTTTCTCCCCCTTGATAGGATTTACACTCTCGCTGATGCAGCCCAGCTCCTCCTCTGGTTGCAGCCTCGCTTCCCCTGCACTGCTAGCTCTCATTCCCCGTCCACACATTCACGATTATTCTTAGGACAATGCTGCACATCTCCCGTGCACCCCCAAGAGTACTCCTTGCCATTTCTCAAATGCAACCTGGACCGGACCTGCCTTCAGCAGGACAAAGCCCCATTATACGCTGCACCAGTTCGGTGCTGGATGTGACAGCTGCACTGGGAACTGTGGGATAGTTACCCAGAGGGCCTTGCAACGCTGACCGTCTACGGCTGCACCGATGCCGACACAGGAAATTCTGCAGCAGCTTCTAAAAGGGTCTGGTGTGACTAAGTTGGATGACTTGCAAATGATTCAGCTTGGTAATGCGGAGATAGTTATGGCAATCCCTCAAGCTGGCGTCTTCTCAATCATCCAAATGGTTTGCCCGCTGCAGCTTTTTTAACGCCCCGTTTCGCTTTACCGAGAGGCTATTAATTCTCATTCAAACCCTTAAAATAAAAACCACAGACTTAAACACGCCCAAACCTCATGACTCCCTAAACCCATGCCTAATGTTTAGGGTACATGCAAGTCTAATCCTGAGACCCTGCATATCCGCAGGTGTTTATCACCCTGCCTTACAAGGCTGGGATTATCCCTGCTTTTTGCCTGTGGGGATATGGAGTCGTGGGTTTTTGATGATCCATTGAGCCACAACATCCCCTTCATGGTTTTAAGTTGTAACACAGGTAACAATCTTTTTTGGTTGTCATGTATAGACCAGCCTGGATTGGTTTCCCCATGTGAAAACAGGGGGGTTGGGTTGGATTGGACTGCTCAAGGTAAAAAGAGGACTGACCCCTCTTGCAGAACCAGTCCCTATTCATCTAAACGAGGTGGGAACGAGGGTTCATAGAAATGCAAAGTTTGCTCATTTGCATATCCATCATTAAATGTAAAGCTGTTCCTCTTAGCTTTGAAGAGATGTCCTTGCCAAGATGGTTCAGGAAATATTGCAGAGGCAAGAGGTCTTGTGATGGTATTGTTTACTGGACCAAAGGCACAGCTGGGATGGTCCCAACCATGCAGTTGGCTCCAACAAGAGTTGGCATCCGCGAGATATCTTGCTAAGCTGCTCCATTGAGCTGCAGGCCCCGAGAGTGGACTGGAAGGTTTACACTGCGCACGTGGAGGCAATGAACTTTCTTCTCCTCTGCCCAACCTCAAACAGGCCCAGGCGGCATGGTTAGAATTTGATCCACGTGTTCTCCTAATAGGATTCTTTCCAAGAGCTTAACCCAGCCACAGGCCTTCCCTTCTCCCCTGCCTGCTGAAGCTGGGGGATTGAGGTATGGCTTGCAAGAAGGACTGATCTCTCTGACCCCCAATTACTTTTTATGCTTCCCAGAGACTGCTGTCCTGCTTTCTGCTCCGGAGATAGAGACTGCCGCTAAGCAAGGATTTGGAGCCCCAAGTTCCCTGAAACTGCTTCAATGGGGGGAAAGCTACTCTCCAACCCACCCACCAGCATCCACTGGGACGAAAGCACCAGGCAGGCCTAGATGGGCCAACAAGCGTGAAGGTTGATCCGGTTTTTCACATGCAGGGCTTAGAGTGTTTGCAGACAAAGGAGAAACGCAGGCACAGAAAAGGAAAGCCACTGGGGTCATGGAGGAGTCTGTAGCCAAGTCAGGAACAGAAACCAGCCTCCAGACCACAGGGAGAGGGTCAGAACAAGAGCATCCAACACTTGACATGAGCCCCTGGATAGGCAGCTGGCTTCCTCCATCCCAGACTTGGCCAGCTGCAATCACCATCTCCCGCTTGGCTGCCTGTGATGCAGAAAGGTCAGGCACCGAGACAACTGCCAACGTACCAACAGAGTGATAGCCTCTCTGATCCCGGCCCCCACGCAAGCATCATTAGCTTCTGCTTGGATGGTACTTTGATGTATTCAGGCTCTAGATGGCACTAGCAAATTTAAAGGCTGGCCAGCCTTTAAATTTGCTAATAGGATACACACAAAACAAGAGGAGGCCAGATAAAATGGACCAGACACTACTAGGAGACTCTGGTCCCACTGTGAGCTCTGCCACTGATTCACTCCACTGCTCTGTGCCTAGGTGTCACGGGATGGGGTCCCCGGGGATGGCTGCAATAGCCCTAGGGGTCCTTGACCGTGCCAATCCTGCCCAACAGGCACTCTCTCTCTTGCCCGCCACATCTTGCAGGTAATTTTGGTAGATTGGGAGGCTGCCCTTGAGTCTGTCTGCTGGACCCTGCTGAATTCTTGGATCCCGCTCAAAGTGGATGCCTCACAGGGCACCCTCAGCCTTATGGGCTAGATGCGTGGCTCCAAAACCGTCCCATTACCATGCCCCAGGCCTTGCAGACGGTACTGAAGGTGGCTCTCCGCAGCCCCATCTCCATGCCCCACACTGGCGCTGGGATCTGCTCACCCCCTTTACTGCACTCTTCTCTAGTGATGGGGTCCCCACACCGTAGTGGGTCCCCAATGAGGCCTCCCCCTTCCCCAGTAGCCTCAGCCCAGTCCTCTGGTATTTATAAACAGCAACTTAAACACGAGCCCCTGGGCTATAATGTAATATAAGCAGCTCAGGGTGTGCTCTGTCCCTTTAAAAGTCCAACTTCCCCCGGCACCAAGTGCTTTGCAGGCTATGGTACCTGTTGAGCTCCTGGAGCCCCATAAGCCCAGTATGCAGCATATCAGGTCCTCCCTGAGCACTTCTTCCCCTTAGCTGCTGCCAGAGAACATCCCCTCTGGTCCCACCCTTGGGGTTTATATTTGCCCAGGGCCCTGCCTCTTCCGGTCAGCTGACCCGGTGCAGGCACAGGCTAACTGACTCATTAGCCTGTTGCCATAGGATCCTGCACCTGTGGGCTCCCGTCTTGCTCTCAGGGCCCTCTCCCCAGGCAGCTTCTGCTCTTATAGGAGCAGGCACCTTAGTGCCCTGCGACACTTGGCTTTCCCACCTGCAAAATGGGGAGAATACAGACCTTCCTTTATACACAGCTGTTGAGATCTGTGAACAGTAAAGTCCAGGCATTAATTGCGACTGAAAAATAAAAGTGTTTTAGATCCAATTGCACAAGAGTGGCAAACATTCCACTAGTATAACACTACTGTTATACCAGTATAACTCCCCAAGGGACATTCATTTACGACACTGGAAAGATTCAATCTCATCCCAAAACAAGAGCATCCTAGGAGGGAATGTATAACTAGCAATACAAGTTCACCTAAACTCAGGGTGGTATAACCTCCCAGGTACCACGCACACACACGCACCCCATCCCCTCGTTCCCTGAGGCAGGGCTCAGGCCCCCCGCAAAGAAAGAACACAATTAGGATTTGGTAAATACTAAGATTGCGCCTTCATTTCTGAACATGTTTTAGAGTATGCAGAACACTTTAATAATACTTTGAGTTGAAATCCCAAACCAAACTAAATATTCTTAAGGTTTCAAGAGATCAAAGGGCCAAATCATTCTCTCTCAGGTGCAAGGCGGGAGAACACCTAGATGGCCAGTGGACCTGTCCAGGTTACCCGTGAAGAGTAACACATCGCTAACGAGAGGTGCAGTTTACTCAGTGTAAGTCATAATCTCAGATCCTAACCCAGTCGGGAACACTTGGTCCACGCTGCACCCAAACGGTTCAATGCTCTCGTTGTTGACGCCCTTCTGCCAGCAATGGAGCAGTCTTCCCATGCACACTGAGCTCCTGCCCACGAAAAATTCCCAGCCATCACTTTCTTAAAAGCCCCAGTTCCTGAAAACAGCCGTATCACGAGCCTTTTCATATTTACCCTTTGCAAAACCCTATCAGGAAGTGAGTCTCAGCCGGGCTTGTTCCTTTTTCTCTGCCGATGGGAAACCTTTTACTTTCAATTTCTTTTTCTTCGGAATATCACAGGTCTGAACACTGAACGCTCTCCTTACCCTCCTTTCTCCCCGCCCGCAGAGGGACAGAAGTCAACCCTCCTGTCGCTCTCTTAGGACTACATCCCACCCACCCAGACGGTCAACACATCAGCAGTAACTGCAAACACACACGCAGAAGCACCCACCCTAGCACCAGGGATCAATTCAAGGGTGCTGGGTTTGATCAGCACCCCAAGTCCCAGACAACTCCTTATCCCCAAACTGCAGACACTTGGAAGCTAATCTAAACTGCATAGCCTAATGGGGACCAACTTTTGTGGCCCCAAGGGGGTAGGGGTGTATATTCAAGAGACCTGGGGTGGACAAGAATGTGGCACTTGTATATTCAAGCCGCCCCCAGGCCTGTGGGAATAAGGGCTTCGAGAAGGTAGAAAATCCAGCACGCTAAAACACCGGCCAAGTCTCCGGGAGCAAACAGGCAGGTCACTTCAATCCTCCTGCACCCCAGGACCAAAAGCCAAAAGAGATCGGTGACTCCCCTGGCTCCCCCAGCCCTCACCGAGGCTGCGAAGGGTTCAGAGCCGCAGCGGCGGGCACCGGGGATGTAGGTGTGGCGCTGCACAGAGATGGCACAGCAGCTTATCTTCATGGGCGAGCGCGGGGCATGCAGGGAGCTGACCTCCCTGGCACCTCTGCGGCGCCCTCATAAAACAGACCTTTGCCTCACCCTCTATTTCCCCTTCCGCTTAAGACGTTTGGGGCTGGCTTCCTCCACTTCCCGGCCCGCGGCCCCTTCCCTTGCCAACGGCTTTCCTGCCAGGGAGGGGGATCTCGGGGCCCTTAGCCGAGGAGCTGATTTTGGGGCAGGAGGCGGAGGCGAGAAAAAGGGACGGAGAGCAGTTCTCTCGAGAGGCTGCGAAACCCTCCGGAACATCACCTCTGCATCGCCGCCGGCACGGCCCAGAGGGGTCGGCCCCGCTGCCTGCTCCTGCTCCGGGAGGCACACAGGCACCCGCCACCCGGGGACGCCGTTGGAGGGCAGAGGCGCTGCCCCGCAGCCAGACCGGCACGAAGCTGGATCCCGGCCCCAAGACGAGGGCAGGCGAGCGGCACAAA